CTTTCTAGTCTTACTCTACAGTTGAAAATATTCAGATTTCTTGTGTATGAAAAATCCTCCATATGTAATGTCACAAGATATGCACTTCAACACAAGTAATGCAAGGAGGCAGCGGCTATGACTTTGGTACTCCTTCCAGCTGCTTTCGGGGCTGGGAGAGAGAATGAGCTAGTAGGTAACAGCCTGTCAATGTGATGTGTTCTGGTATTTTATTACTAAAAAAGTTTAAGTAATTAGGTTAATTTTTGGAGTAGGTAGTGCCCCGTATGGGCAAATATCACAGAATTATAGGGGTTGAAAGGGTAACTGCAGGGGAACTCTAGAGATCATCAAGACCAGCTTCCATGCTAATGCATACTTGTTTATATGTTACAATAGAATTCAATTTCAAAATTATTTTGGTCTAAGTAGAGAGAGATATTTTCAATGATAATAATTTCTTCAATAGATTTTGCAAGGCAACCCCCTTGCTTAGAAAATAATCTGAAAACTCCAGATTGTTAGTGGTTAGATTACAGGTGATTGTGTTTGCAGTACTGGTGCTAGTACTCCATCTTCCTAAATGGGATGGACTGCAGAATAGTCACTTTTTTCAGGCGTGGCTGTGGTAAGTTAAAATATATATACATATCTAGCTTCTGATCTTTGCTTCTAAGCAAGTTGTTTATGGTATTTTTGTATAAAATACTTTGTAGTGTGAAATAGGTGATGTGTTAAAAAGTAATGCAAAGAAGCTACAGCAGTTGTTGCTGGTGTTTTCTTACAGAAATTCTTTTTAATTATCAGGAAAAGAGACATTTTAACAGTATAAAACACTACATGATAGAGCTTTTCTTAACAGGAAGTAGAACAGAGCAGTGGTTAGAAAACACTGCATACAGGAAGTTAGACACATGCGTAGCTCTTAGTGCTTGTGACTCGTCCTTTCAGATATTTTCTGTGTTGACTTTCTGAAAATTGCCAGTGTGCATAGATGGCAGCTCAGAAGGAGGTACCTTGTGCCCAGTGCACAGGGACAGCCACCGCGCTGCAGAGACTGGAAGGTTTCGCTAACCGCCTTTTCCATAGGCATTCCAAGGGCAGTGCGCATGAAGTGAGAGTGGCTCTGGAAAATGAGAGCCATCACTTCTCTGAACTTGCTGTCCTATGGGACAAATCAAGTAAGTAGGACTTCTTTTGTGTTGTTTATTTTACAGATTTTCTCTTTTTAGGGTGCAAGGCAGTTGAAGAACTTCCGTGTATGTAATTGAATGCAATCTGAAATGCATTCCAGGGGCAATTTTACAATTCATTACCATAAGCTATTAATGTGAAGAATAAGAAATTTTATCATGCATAGGGAAGTGAGGAATGGTTTCGTGGGCTGTGTGACTGGCAGGAGAATTCGACTGGTCCTGTTCTGTTAAAGTACACGTGACTTGTTTTAGCAAGCCCTCGCTCCAATGTATACTGCTAAATTACTTCCTTTAGTTTCGAATTAAATCTACAAGTTCAGCAGAAAGAGAAACCTCGTTGAAAATTGTGATGTTTAAATTTTGAACTGAGCAGACGTGGCTGCACAGATTAAATTTCAAATTATAGGGCTTTTTGTCATTTGTCATTTAATTTTGCATGGTGTCTCAGAACGGTCCATACAGTCGTAAACAGTATAAAATTGTGTTTAGTTTCAATTATGGTGTGTTAGTATAAAAATGCTGGATGTCACTAGCTTTAATTTCTTAATTAGTGAACAGTTGACAATATGCATTTGTATGGACTAAAACTTTTCGTGATTGTTGGCTAATAAATTCGTGTTGTGTTTGCTAATAAAAGGGAGAACTCAGCAATAGCACAGTGTGAGTGAATTGACTTTTTTTTTTTAAGCAGTGCATTATTTTTCAAAGCAATTATTATCCCTGTGGTTAAATACTCATTTTAAAATGTTGCAATATGGTAATTGATGATAATTTTGTTCCAGATTTCTGGTTCATTGGTTCATTGATTTAGGATAGCACAGTTATTTCAATTGAAAATAGGCCTTATTTGAAATGTTTAACACCAGTGTTAGCATGATGAAAATCAGCATTTGCACATATCCCTGCTTTCAGTTATGAGTATACTGCGAACAGTAAACGAGCTGAGAGTGAATCTGCTCTCAGAGGATAGGCAGTAAACATGGAAACAAAAAGTGTTAATGTGTCGACCTAAAATAGATTAAATCTGGGTCTCCAAAATGAGATGGAAAAGGATGGAATAGTTTAGTTGGAAAAGTAAATGATGAAAGTGTATAAATTCTGAGTTTCCGCTTCTCCAAAGTATTTTCCAATTGGTAAAAATAGATACTTACTTCTGTTTATGCAGAAGTTCTTTTTTATGTAAATAACTGTTTGGAAAAAAAATAACACTGAGGCACTTCTGTTTATGTAACATGGAGGGAAAAAAAATGTTAGTGACCTACTGACATCTGCAAATGGTGACCTGCTCATGTATAAGTCTCTACTATTTTTTCCCCTCTATTTAAGGCCAGCCTCCTTGTCTGACATGCTCAATGAGGAAATGGACTGCCATGTATTCAAATGATAAACACAGTGAAAAGGCCTGTTATGTGAATGTCTTTTTAAGTAATTAAGCGTGGTGGTGGTATGTACTTTTTCTGAGGAAAACAGCTGAATATTGGTTGATTATGTAACTTTGGTTTCAGGGTGATATGCTGAGTATCTATGTAGGCTATGGCCTACATGTACGTGTCAGGATTCTGGCTTCACTACTACTGTGGCGCAAGAAGTGATAGAGAAGAAAGAGCAGAGGGAGGTGGCCTTTCTCTCCTTTCTCTCTGCTGCTGACTGCACAGAGTTGTAACTGTATCCCTGGGAAAATGCATCATCCCTGAAAATTCTTTGCAGCATTACAAAGGAAAAATAGAAGGGAGAAGGCTTTAGTGTTGTGGGGTTTTTTTTGTTGTTGTTGTTCCCCACCCCCCTCCTCCTCCCCTAACAAGTCAGTGTTGTAGAATTGTACTGGGTCACTGAATTCAGGCTGCAGATTAAATTCACAAAGTTTTTAATGAATAAGCAATTTTATAAATGTGATGATGTTTGTTTTAGATGGATATTTGAATATTCTCGACTCTTCTATGCATACAACAGCAACTTATGGAATTTTAAGCTTGACTAAAATTAAATAGCAGATATTTAGCATGAATTAATTCTAAAGTGAAGGTAAAACCAGTCTTGCATTCCTGAAAAAAATTGCAAAAGAGCTTTTCAGATTTTTGTTGTAGGTCTAGGATTGAAGTTGAATTGATAAAAAAAAGAAAATTAGAATATTAACACCTTCTGTAAAGCAGCATGGTAATAGGTCAGTTTCTGTGTGTGTCCTTGTGCAAGCAGTTACTGCTGACACTGTGTTTACTGAAGGTGAAGGAGCTGTTTGCTGTCAAGTGGCTTCTTGCTAATGTGCTGCCAGTCAGCTACTGCTGTGGCTTAGACAGCCTTGACATGTGCTCTGCAGCCTCAAGGGTTTTCAGTGATTGATTTTGAAACTTATTTAATGCCTTGGTTTCATTATTTTATTATCTATGGAACATGATATTTCTAATATAGCTTGAACGCTTAGTTAACGTACGATGTTTGCTCTGAAAGTGATGCCTCCTATTTTATTGTGTTGGCCCACAGTGTCTGAGGTGGATGTTGGTGGGATGGCCGGAGAGGTCAAACCTTCCTACCAGTATCCCATTAAATGTTGCCATGTGATGGATGGCGTCGCATGGACAGTCTGACAGAACGGTGTCTGACATGGAAGTGCATGTGAAGCAAAGGTGCCTCATTGAATTCATCCATGAGGAATGGATGCCAAAAGGCACCGACTGATTATTCATTGACCCTTGCTGAAAATTCATGGAGGTGAAACGGTGGATATGAGCACAGGGAGATGGTGGGTGGTGTGTTTCAGTAGTGGCGACAGTAATAGTGGGTACCTCTGCTGGTAAAAGGTTTTTAGGAGTGCAGCATGCAGGTTGTCATTTATCACTGGTGAAAATGCATAGCTAATGATGGTGTCTGTGTTGAAAAATAGTGCTTTGTAGCTAAGAATTTGCTCTGTCAAGCAGTATTATTGTGCTCTTTGCATCTGTTGTAGTTTCCATGGAAATAAATAGGAAGCATTACTTTCAGAGTGACCTACATATGAAACTAATTTGTTGTGTAAAATCTTTAGAATCCAGTAGGGACAGAGGTATCTCTGAATACCACAGGCCTTTGAATCTATTCTAAAAAATTGGCCAAATGCACATGTAAATGCACAGACTGCACGAGTCTGGGGTCAGGGGTGCTGCAAAGGGCAAAAGGGATGTGATGGTAGGCAGCAGAATGCCACACTTCCATCTGAGATTCAGATGTCTGGAATGTGGCTGGTTGCAGTTATGTGGAACCCAAGTTTTGATTATTTTTGCAGATTGCTTTGTTTTGTTTTCTTAATAGTTTTTTGCTCTTTGAAAGACTGAAGTGGGAGCAGAAAGGAGAATGAGGCTGCTTGGTTTTGATTGTAGGGACGGCAAGATCAGTGAGAATCTCTTATTCTAAAGCTGCTACAAATATTTTTATGAATCTGTGCAAAATAAAAGAATGTCTTAACTTTGAATAACATGCATGTTACGAAGAGGCACCACTTGCATCTTTTTATTATCTTCAGATTCTCATAGTCTATAAATTGCGAATAAATGGACGGATGGTGAATAGGAATTCTATTTGGTCTCTAACTGATTCAACCTAGCAATGTATTTCGAATACTGTGGAATTTCTTAGAGAATTTTAGCTGAATAATTGCTAGATATATAGAGAGGAAAATATGAAATATGAAATAATGTGTAAAATACATTGTGCAAATTGATTAAAGCTTTAGAGTAACTACTAGTTGGGTACAAGTCAACAGATAATTCTGGTCTAAGGTTGCCATGGAAACAACCAGTGCTTGATATAATTGAGAACATCTTAAAAACCTCCTGGTGTTTGCATGCTTTTTTCGCCCTGCCATTTTGAGTTGCTTTAGACATGAATAGGTAGCATTGGTCAGAACAGAAGTAGTTAATGAGCAAAACCAAGTACCCGTGTGCTGAATATTGATTTTGGTTTACTACTGCTATCTTGTGCTTCACAGATTTTTGCATCAGAAGGAGCCCGTAAGGAAGAGAAGCTCTCTGGATTCTGTGTGCTTTCTCTTTCCAGTTAGTGTATAGTTGTGTTTCGAGCTTGGAGCACTGATTTCTGTAGAGATTAACATACTTCTGCAGTTATTGGATTAATATTAGCAGCAATATGTTTCTGAAAATTAGCTTTTCAGCATGAATGGTAAGTCTTTTCTATTGCCTTTGACACTATTTTTTGTTCTGTCTTCACAGTCAGGAAAAATCTACCAGGTTTCCCTTTCTTGTCTGCAGAGCTACATCGACTACAGAGCCCTTTGTTTCTGTAATCGACTTACTGTGGATTCTAAAAATGACCTGTCTTAAAGATTAGCAGTTTTATTAAACATTTTGCTTTGCATAGGTGGTATTTAGCATTTGAAATTCTATTTTGAAGCTTTCTTTCAGAAATAACTGTTCCAAATCATTGAATAGGGCATAGAATCCGACATGGAGAATTTTATAATTGTATGCTCTGTGTGTTGCTTCACTTATTTTTGTGTGCCATTCATAACGAATTATTTTCTGTGAATTGGTACAAATCAAAAAGCCCTTCTGAAATTATTATAATTATCACCTAAAAGTCTGAACTGCTTTTGTTGTTTTTCATCTGGACCGTCTTATCCTTCTTTGGTCTTTATTCTTTCTAAATGATGGGATAGCAGAATAGTTCAGGTCATGCATGGAAGTAGGGGAGGAGAGTGACATTTAAAATGAAATATTATAATGGGCGCAGTGAACTTATCAGGCAGGTGGTTGCTTTCCAAAAACACTGCTTGTTGTAAAGCACTTCGAATTAGTGGAATTATGGAGTACTTTATTCTTCCTTGAAATGTTATCCAAAATTGTACCTAAATGTTTATGCCGTGTACGTTTATTTCTTTAGAAGATGATGTCATTAGAAAATGGTTTTCAAAGAGCCCAAGCATAATGGTTTCTGCAATTGTGCCGTATCATTTCAAGCAGATAATCTGGAGCCTTGGGAAATGACTTGAGAGGGTTAAAGATTGCTTATAAAGAAAAAAACAAATACACTTTTATACAGAGTTTCTGTGTGTGTCTGCATGGTTTTGCTTTGTCCTACGAATTTAAAGGTCTGTTTTTACGAAGATTTCAGTTTTATAGAAGGCATGAGACAAAAAGTGGGAGGAGCCATCCCACTGCCTTGCCTAATATCTGTTTGCATGTACTTATCTCACACAAATGTTTTGAGGTTGTCCACCCCAAAAAGGAAAGTGTTGCCGTCATTTCCTCAGGGTATGGATCACAACAATATGCAGTATTGTTACGTGCAGCAATGTACAGATATGGCTGCAAGACAAGTTATCAGAACTTTGTCCATGAATTATGAGGACCCACGTTACAGCATCATGGCCTCTGAAGTATAGCTCAGGGCAGGCCAACCTGGAGGGGTGTTCCAGCCCCTACCTGCGTCGCTATGGGCACATGGAGCCGTCAGCTGGACGAGGGGGCTGCATCACCTCCCTGCTGGGAGCTGCTTCTGAGCGAGGGTGAGCCTGCAGCCCTGCTGTGTTGCTGGCATCGCATGGCTGTATTATTCTGTGGATGAAAAGGACCCAAATTATGAGTTGGAAAGTCTCTGGTCACCATCACCAGTGCTGAATTTTTCCTGGGTTTTTTTTTTTTTTTTTTCTTTCCTGTTTTTCCTTACAGTTGTGTGGTAACTTCCACAGGAATTAAGATTTGTGGAAGTCAGCTATATCAATCTCAGATTTTTCTGCTTAAGTGCTTAATTTCCCCTTTTTTATTGTCTTAAGACTGAGTGATTTTAAGGGAATAAATTTCTTAACTGAAACTGGGTGAAAAAGAGACAACCATTCTGGTTGGGTTTTTTTTTTTTTTTTTGTGGGCTTGTTTTTTGTTTTTGGTTTTTTTTTTATCATGGGGTTTTATTCTACAATTTGCATCTGTACATTATGTTCACCTTGACATCCAGGCTCCCAGGTCCATTGAAAATAAAAATAAATGACTGCAATTTTTACCTACTGTCAGTTCCCAATCAAAATAGTCTACAAATCAGACTTGTTTTGCCTTAGTGAAAGGTGTCTTGTGCTTCCTGTGAGGAGGATTAGATTATCTTTAGTGTAAACATTTCCCCACTGAAATTACTTCTGCTGTTTGATGCCCCTTTGCAGTTGTCTTTGCTGCAGCAGTTCTCTCTTTAAGTGGATAAAACCAGATGCTCTCCTTTTAAGGGGTGGTCTAGATGAAGTGAAACTGATGAAATAGTAATGTTTTCTTCAATTGCAGACATGATTGGCCTACTTTTTTTTTTTCTTTCCTCCAGGAAAGTTCCAGAGATTTTTTTTATTTATTTTTTTTTTCTGTAAAGAATGAAAAAAACTGTTTGCCTTTCAGAGTCCTTGTTTTTCATTTTCTTTGGTTCAGGGTTTGTTTTGTTTTTAATAGCAGAACATTGCTTAACAGATAAAACTGACAGGAAAGATGCTGTTGTGGTATTTCACTGGGAAGAGGCTTAATCCTCCTAGTAGCACCAAGTCCACAGTTGAGTTAGTGCTTTCAATATTGAAAATAAGTATTTGCTGATCCCGAAATTTATGTTCTTAAGATAGTATTCCCCATATGTGTGTACAGATGGAGCAGTATGAGGCGTGCGAGCAATGCTGATAGCCTCTGCTGAGTTATTGTCAGGACTGGAGGCACTGGCAAACAGGAGTGTTTCAGGAATAAGGGCGAAGGGACAGAGTATAAATATCTTAGCTGTGTGTATTGCAACAGTCTTCTAAGAGCAAGTTCACAGTTCACAGAAGTAAATTTGAAACTTCAGCAATTGAGAAATAGGGAGTTGTATCAGAGCAAAGCTGAGTTGGCTGAAGGTTCCCATTTTGCAGTAACAGAACATGTAACAAAGAGGTCTTGAAGCTGAAGACCCGCTGTACATCTGGGCTGACTGAACTTAGAAACTGATTATGTAGGGAGAGAGAGACTGGGCTGCATTTATCAGTGCCAGATATATGGTTTGCAGGATAAGAAGGAAGTGATAAGATAGATGAGAAATCTAGAGGCATGTCAGTACTGATACTAAACATGGCATGTATTTTCCTCTCAATACATATAGTTGTGGAGAAAGACCTCCAGAAGCAATTATTCCTGCTGCTGAAGAGACGGTATAGAAAATGAAAGAGTGGAACTCTCATGTGCTAGAAACGTGTGCTCCTATGTGTGTCTTGTTGGTTTGAAGGTATCTTCCTTGCAAAAATTTTCCATTATCAATTTGCTGCTGACAATAGATTAGGGTAACTTCTTAGGTGTTGAGCTGGGTTCATGTTGGTTCTGGCTCTTATATGAAGTATCTGAAGAAAGAAAAAACAGCATGGGTTGCTGGTTTGACATAGTTCTTAAAGTGCCTCCATCCGGAGAACAATCCCTCAGCATGCTTAGTTTTGAGAAAAGATTAGTTTAATGAAATTTATGTTACTTCCAGAGGAAAGGGCATTTTAGATGTTGTAATCTTGCATCTCTGTTGAACTGTGGCTTACTCTACTTTCTGCTATGATTCTTACATATATATGTATTACCAGTAAGATTTTCTTCTTGTTGTGTTTTAGTTTATATCTCAAATAGTTTATATAATTATTTGTTGTTCTTCTAAAAGCTGCTGCTGGTATTGCTGTTGTTGACCAAAGTGTGTAGAATGAATGTCACATCTTTGAGGTTACTAAGGGCAGTTTCGTAACCTGACTAATAGTTTTGATGCTTTCCTTTATTTGTTGCAGTTGTTTTCATGTACTACAGCTCATTAGGAATTCTTAATTTGTGTGTTTTTGTGTTTTTTTATGTACAGTGTGTGAATATTATGTCTTCTTTTTCATCAAAATAAGCACTGACTTTAACCAGTTTTCCTCTACAGTCCCATTCATTATCAGAATGGATGTCAAATACTCTTACCTACTTTTTCCTACCCTAATCCTAAGGAAACAAAATGTTACTCACTTTGATGTGCTGAATTGTGAAATATGTTTATTTATGTAAGACTTTCTTATTCAGAAAATTCATCTCTGCTATTTGAGGTTATAAATGAACCTCTACTGCTTGGATAGAAAAGGCAACCCCTTCCTCTGAATACTGAAAATGAATATTGAAATATGTTCTGTGGGAGACATGTCAGTGTTGTGATGTGTCAGATTCTCAAATCTTGCAGAGATGAGCTATTTTGCTTATTTACTCTGACAGCTGTGAAGTTATTGATTCCAAAGCAAGTACTTGGGATCGTGTATGGTTTTATCAATGTGAGGGTTGGAACAAAGTACTTTCATGGGAAGTGGACTTAGAAATGAGTGCAGTTAAACCAAGATTGGTGTATCTACTGTTATTTTGATGCTTCAAAATACTTGAGGGGAAAAAAAAGGAAGAGCAACACAAGAGCTACTCTTTTCAAGTAACATATTGACAAGCATTTATATAGCATCCAACAGCCCCAAAAGATGCTTTGTTTGGAATACAAGCAGCAAATGAATTTAATAAAACTTTATTTACTGCTAAAGAAATGATTGTTTGTGCACGAATATATATATAGTGATAAAAATGATGTATGAAGTGATAGCTGCTCAGTAACTGGTTATCATTTTTCATCAGTGGACTTTCACTAAAGGGGAAGGGAAGGGGAAGGAGGGGCAGTAATACAGAGAGGAAAGTTGATGCCAACCAGTTGGCCAGTACTTGTAGCGCAGAGGGATGTACTGGAGTGAAACATAGCAGATAAAGTAAACTTTGGCCTGGTGTGGGTTTTTGATGGTAAGAGGAAAATCTGATTATTTTATTTATTCACATTTAACTAGCATAACATGAACCTTTACTCAGAAATATAGACAGTTACATGATGTTTTCTTGTAGTGCCCTAGAAAATTTTGTTCTTGGAACTCATTCTTAAAATTTATTCTTTTTTTTTTTTTTTTCCTGCATGGTAACCATGGAAACATATGCAGTGTAGAAACAGAGGTGTTTGAAATTTCACAATTTGCCCACAGTTTTCAATTTTCTTTGTAAAATGGTACCTGTTACATTTCAGAGGCAGGAGGTCTTTGCACTACAAATTCTGTGGTATTTGCTACACTTTCGATTATGTGCTGAGGATCAGCTACAACTGTAGAGAGTTGTACTCAATAGAGAGTACTGCATTGACAG